GGGGAGGAGTTAATGGCACTACTCATAAGTACTATTTAATTTCTTATCCTCGCTCTTTTCTCTTTCCCGTCTCCCTCGCCATGGACATGATCGAAATTCGTCTCCGAAAGTTCCAGAGGTCTTCGTTTTGGAAGGTTGTAGATGTCTTCGTCTAGGAAAGTTCTAGAAGTCTTTCTCGCTGTCGTCACTGTAGTATTTCTCTTTTGCGGGTTTTTGTACAAACGTCTCCTTGGTCTCGTAGACGGGGCTGTACTGGGTAGGTATATAGTCGTCGTAACCCTTATCTGGGGAACGAAATAACAATAGGTTTACGTGTTATTATGTTTTAGTAAGAGCTTTACGACACTTGCAACAAAATACGGCCACACAAGTGCCGACTATTAAAGGTGTTACAAGAGAGTCACAAGTATAAACAAGTAGGTGAGGGGGGGGGGGTGGAATAAGGAGGATAGATGTTTGATAGGGAAGAAGGAGCAAACCCACAGCAGAGCACGCACAAACCACCCATGATTTTGACATTGTGTCAGTTGTTTTTTTTAAAAAGTAGTTGGCCTAATAGTTAGGCTCTCGGACTAGCACCAATAAGGTCGTGTTTTCAATTTATTTTCGTCAGGGTTCCAACATTGTGTCTTTGACACACAAATTCTCCACACTTCAAGGAAGTGGGAAGGAGTACCTGATTATAGACAGCGACAGATCTCAGGTCAGTTTGTTAGTGTTTGAGCGTGTGCAATCCGCAGTTTGCACTTTACGTTTCAATTGAAACCAGGGTTGTTTCCGATTGTTCTATGGTCAGCTTGGGTAATAATGGTTACACATGGTATGGAGCATGTTGCTAGGCGAATATCGTACTAAAATGTTTAAAATGTATGTGTTTAACGCCCCTATCAACACTATTAGGTAAGTTAAGAGGTTTAACGTCTATCTCCGAAAGGACCAAGCCAAATTGGACATTTCCCAAGGACACAACGTCGGACCGAGCTGAGGCTCGAACCCCCGAACCCGCAATCTCACGATTATGAGTCCGGTAGCCTAACCACTAGGAAGATTGTACTATATAAATGCAGTTGTTATAATAAGACAAGAAAGGAAAGGGGTTACTTTACAGAAGATAAAAACGGGACATAGAAATATGGCCTGGAACAAAAACATCTACGCCATGCTGAATGACAAATGACAGAGTGTTTTCAGATTAAAACGTCGGGGAATCAAAGTACAACTACTCAAAAAGCTACAACAAGGATGGGGGCAGTGAAGGGGCAAGGATGGGGGCGGGAATGGAGGTG